AGGGGGGCATCAGCAAGCAGGTCGTTGACCTCTGACATTAATAACACGCTACCTTGCGTGTTTTCATCAAACAGCAATAAATGCAGTTTTGGAGAATCTTGATGGGGCACTGTTTAAAAAGAATGTATGACACGTGGAGCAGATGTGAGGAATGCGAGTTACCCGAATCGCGGTTTGGGTGGTTTCATATGAACAAGGCCTTTAAAGCAAATCTATGTCTTAGGTGTTGCATAAAAACTTCATCCAATTTCCATAAAATGCCCTTTAGTAAATGTTAACTAACTTCCATATAATACCAACGGTATTTGTAGAAGATTGTAAAACCTGTTCTTCTGTAACGCGACATTTAACTGCACAGGACTGGGGTCTAATCTTAACTTATACTTACCTATGAATATATAAGTAAATACTTTAAAAGATCAATAATTAAATCCTTACTTTGGTCACAATGCTGAACATCAGGTGGTGTACACATTTTTAGGCAAAAGGTAAGCAGCTATTCTGCCTCTAAATACAAAAGCGCCATTGATCTTAAAATGTACCTAATTCGTTGACATACTGATATGTCTGTTTATATTTGAATTTAACAAGGCAAACATTACGTGTTCTCATCATTTTTTTTACAAAATTAGAACAGAAAAAAATAACAAAACGCTGTTATCAGTGCGATGTCATCAATGTTGCACAGACAAGTGGTTTTCAACTGCAACGTTTTAACAGCTTAAAGGTCAATCCGGCATCTCTACTTTGCAGTTACAATTAAGCTGTTCTTTAATTTCAATTTCTGTCAGTCCTGTCTCTTTATAGTACTCAGTTAACACGAAAATAACTTATAGTGTTCCGTGCAGTATCCTACGACTTGACTGTGCAGACCCAAACGTTTACAGAGTAAACAATAAAAAAAAACTAAAGTAGACTACAAGCGTTTCTTGACTACAAAGAACACCCAGCACTTAACGTTTTCATCTCCAGTCTCAATGACAAACGGCAGACATCTGCCGACATCACAGAAGTACAGTTGATGTTCTTTACATTCTTAATTGTGTAAGTCTTGTAGACTTTGGTCTGTATACCTATTTCATATTTACGCACATGTATTACATAAGATATTTTTAAGATGTCAATTATGATGCAATTACTACAGTCATGCTGAAGGTTATCGTATAAACATGTTCGTCTTCAGTAGTGTAAGACACAGAACTGTACAGAACTGGGGCCTAATCTTAACTTATCGTTACATATGAGTATAGGGGTAAATGGTTAAAAAGAAAATTATAAATCATTACGTTGGCCAAACTGACGGACAACAGGTGGTACACACTTTGTAAGGCATAACAGCTGAATATTCCGGATCTTACGCCGGACATGGCTTTGTTTGGTTTTAGGCCCAAAGGTTAAACCTTGAACCATTGTCTGTGGTATGTTTGTTCAAGTTTTTTTTCTGCATGTTTGTTCCCTACCAGCGTGTTGGCATGCAACAATTACTGTTCATATTTTATCTTTGAAAAATATGATTCTTTTTCTTATGTCTTTTTCTGATTTATTTGTCAGTAAAACAATGTTGCATTGCCAAGTGGTTTAAACTGCTGGTTTCATAATGCTGGCAGGTCAACCCTGCGTATCCAAGTAACTTTAGTTGCGATTTCCGTTTTTTTTTGTAAGACCATGCTGATTGTATGGAGAGCATTCTTTTTAACCAAAGTGTTTATAAGTTGACGTAATGAATGATAATGACTGAACATACCTCACCTCACCTCAGAACTTCGTATACCACCCAAAAAAGACATATCTCCTGAAGCACCGTGAACACTAGTAGCTTTCACGGTGAAGCTGATTGCGTCGATTCTAAGGTCCTAACATCGAAAGAAAACATATCATTTAAGTAAGTTTCTTCAATTCACTATTCGTAATGTTCCTTTTTGCAGTTTTCGTCGTTTTCGTTACGTATTTTAAATTACATGTAGTCTATCCTGACATGAGTTGTGTGATTCGACAGTTTTACTTTCATTCATCAGGCAATACGTATGACGACGTTGCAGAGGTAAATTAAATCACATTACTTAAAAAATTGCATTTGAACTTTCATTAAATATATTTCGTCATCAATTCTCTTAATTTTGTACCTAAATCATTTGTAATAATTGGCAAGTTCTTTAGCGGCCTTTTAATACTTATAACAGCGAGCAGATTATTATTGGAATGAGCAGAGCACTTTGGACTAATGCCTCTGACTATTTACAGCTTAGAGGTACATATCCAATCTTTTGTTACAAACTTCTCTGTTACATAGCGGATCATAATTAAAAATTGAAAAATCTCAATATTTTAGACGAAATCTTGAGATCTTATGAGACAATTTTGAGATTTTTTTATGACAATCAGAAAATCCTAAGATGAAAAGAAAAGGTCTCAAGATCTTTCCAAATGTTTTCAAAGTATCTTGAGATTTTCCAATTAAAGCAATCTTGAAAAAACGTGAGATCTTTTAAACAATCTTGATATTTTTAAGCATCTCGAGATACTTTGGAAAAATCTCAAGATACTTTGAAATCATTTGGAAAGATCTTGAGACCTTTTGTTTTCATCTCAAGATTTTCTGAAAGATCTGGAGATTGTCATGAACAATCTCAAGATTGTCTTTTAAGATCTCAAGATTTCGTCTGAAATATTGAGATCTTTAGAATGAATCTTGAGATTTTTCAATTTTAACGAAGCGTGAAGACCCCTACTGGGGGTCATTATAATCCGCTATGTAACAGAGAAGTTTTTGACAAAATATTGGATATGTACCTCTAAGCTGTGAACAGCCAGAGAGATTAGTCCAAAGTGCTCTGCTCATTCCAATAATAATCTGCTCGGTGTTTTATATATTATTTAAAAGGTGCTCTATAAAAACTATAGTCTTCTACCTTAAGTAGTGTCATAAATTACGTTGTACATGGTTTGGAATAGCGTGAAGTAAATCATTGGGTTCTGGAGTGTTTGGCCGACTTGCAATAAACATAAATTGGTGCCGTCATTATTTATATTAATGGCAGAGGCATTTATGTAAATGAATGGACAATTTCTGTGCACAAAATTAAAACCATAAGCCAAGTAAAAGAGTCTGCATTAGCCTGGGTGCCATCCTCTGTCGTTATCACCTGCTCCCTAATGTCGTTGGCTAACACGGAGTCCGGACTTGCTTACATATGTAACGGCAAGAGCCCTCAAAAATAGCTTAGACGAGTAGGACCAATCAGCGCACTTGTTTAAAATTTAAAGGAATATGAAGATTCAAGCCGTTACATATGTCAGCATGTACAGACTCCGTGGTAGCCAGCGACATTAGGGAGCGGGTAAAAGGACGGAGGATGACACCCATGCTATTAAAGGCTGCATGGGGGTCCTGATGAAAAAAAGTTGCATGGAGAGATTAGGCACGCACATGTTGTTTTGGCCACGTCCCACACAAAACCAGAATGGCGAATTGTAGAAGGAAACGTGTCATCGTGACCATGAACTTACCTGCGTCACAGTGTATCCATTTGCCCTGATAGACCGCGGTTACAGAACACCAGGGACGGCCATGGCCATGGTTGACGTTGGTACAGGAATTGTAGGTTTTTCCTTCGTACGTAAATGGAAAATGGCAGTCTGAAAAATAAGGAAATGAGTAAAAGGCAAGAAGAGGGCAAATGTTTATCGATCCGTTGATGTTCCTGAAACTATACCAATACGCCAACACTTTGCCCATTTTTTTGATTCTGTAATTTAGCGTTTCTATTCGAAGCAGCACACCCTGAGGTCTAGCAAACGGCTCTTCCGGGGAATAATTAGAAAGGTAAATAATTGTATGTCAGATATAAGGATATCTCATTAGCTACAAGAGAAACTAAGTGTGGTCTCTTCAACCTCTTTAATATTGGTAGAATTAACCAAAAAATTAACTCCAAAATTAGTGCACTAAATCGGGAATTCGCATGTAGGATAATCTAATTAGAAAAAAACCTATCCAGATAACAATCCTTGTCTGTATGCAAGTGACTCGCAGTTTTAGTCTGAGGCAGTTTGAAACAAAATATAAAGATTCTGATATCCTTTCTTGGGAAATGTTGTTTTGGAGCTGAATATTATAGGTCACGGTTGTAGTATTTTCATTTTGTTTTAAAAACAAACTACAACCATTTGCGTGTCTGGTTCGCTAAAGAAGATATAGGTTTTTCATACGGTCAACAGCTGTCCAAAGGGGTCAAAGGTTACTTCTCAGTGGCAAATTTCACGCATGCTTTTGCTGTATATGACTTTTTTCAATTTTTTTTTTAATTCAAGTGGACAATTTACAACAGTATTGTCCTACCCACTGCCATCTACGCTGGCGAAACCTGGAAACTTACAGCTAAAGTATATCCAGAAAGCTAGACGCCTTCCACCAGAGAAACCTGAGGAGAATACTGAAGGTGAGGTGGCAGGACCACATAACGAACGAAGAAATCCTGAACAGGTCCAAGTCCAAGCCTCTGAGCACCATCGTAACAGAGAAAAGAATGTAGTTGGCAGGACATAGCCTCCGTCTGTGCAGCAGAAGGCACTCTAAGACAGCGATGACTTGGGTCCCCCAAAACGTCAGAAGGAAGAGACAGGGGAAGGCCGAAAGACACTTGGAACAAGACCTTTCAAGACGATCTGAGAAGGGCAAACATCTGGTGTCCCAAACCGTGCCTTGTCCCAAACCATGCCTGGGCATATTATCCAAAATATGAATAAACGACACTTTACTTTTGCCCTATTGTACGGAGGCACAAAATATTTATATTCTTTAGCACCAATAATCTTTTTTTTTTCAAGATTTAAAAAAAAAAGATTTTTCGTAATCGTTTGGCCGTAATGTAGGACAGAAAAAAGGTAGAACCTCTTTGTTTGGTAGAACAAATAAATTGGCTATGTGTTATGCACCCTACTCCAATTATAATACACTACCATAAGGCCAATGAAAAACAAAAATAAAAGGAAACGAATTTTTATATGGGACGCCAACCAACGAATTGACATGTTTTGTTGCAGAGCTCTGTGGGGGTATCGCGGCGCTCCATGGAGGAGCTCTGCAGAACTGAGGACTGCACGAGCAAGCTCCATGGAGGAGCTCTGCAGAACTGAGGACTGCACGAGCAAGCTCCGTGGAGGAGCTCTGCAGAACTGAGGACTGCACGAGCAAGCTCCGTGGAGGAGCTCTGCAGAACTGAGGACTGCACGAGCAAGCTCCGTGGAGGAGCTCTGCAGAGCTGAGGACTGCACGAGCAAGCTCCATGGATGAGCTCTGCAGAACTGAGGACTGCACGAGCAAGCTCCATGGAGGAGCTCTGCAGAACTGAGGACTGCACGAGCAAGCTCCATGGAGGAGCTCTGCAGAACTGAGGACTGCACGAGCAAGCTCCATGGAGGAGCTCTGCAGAACTGAGGACTGCACGAGCAAGCTCCATGGAGGAGCTCTGCAGAACTGAGGACTGCACGAGTAAGCTCCATGGAGGAGCTCTGCACTGGTCACTAGACAACCTCGTGCCCAGCGCAGCATTATTACTTTCCTCGCGATTTTTACAGGTTCTGGGAACGAGTTTAATTTTCAATTTATTCTCAAAAATTAGAAAAGGGGCTTACGAAATGCCTTATTGCACATGAATGTCATTGATAACAGCTGTTAGAATGAGATGTATGCTGAATGCCCTAGCCGTCTATGTTTAAAAAACTCTCGTGAAGCTCCGTCAACACTTTCACAGTGAAGCTGATTAATTTAATGAGAGCCCCTTTATATTTACTGTGTTTATATCTCGTTAGTTCAATACATTGTGATTCTGAAGGACAACGCATCGAGCATTTATGATTTGGGCACATAGGTCGCTGAAAAATGCATTTTAGTAAGATGCAACTTTGGACTCTTAATTAAAGCGCATTACTGACCGTGTATAAGGTATATTTTCCCTCCCACAGGGTCGCAGGTCGCACAATATCCACCACACCTGGCAGAGGCAATCTGCAGAACAATTGTGTCAGATGTATCATAAAAAAACAGGATATTTTACAGATTATAAAAAAAGTAAAATTTAAAAAATGACTGGGCATGTATTTACAAAGTAATGGTATTTTTCACATTCTGCAACGCCCAAAACTTTGCAATTTGTCTTAACCACATCCTAATCGATCATTGTTTTCGAGATTCGCTCTTTTTTACATATTACATGCTCCGCAAATCAGATTTTTGTTGCTGTCAAAGAGGTTATACTTGGGGTAGCGTTTGGCGTGGATGTTTGCGAATCGGCACGGCACCTCAACAAGATATAAATAAAAATAAGCTATTAGATTCTGTGCGTCTTGAGGCTTTGCTTCGAACAGCAAATCTTTTGATTTTAACATCTCGCGTTCTATACAAGATACCTCAAAGGTATATGACAGAAAGTTTAACAAAAAAGTGTGCTAGAATATGAAGGCCTGTTAATACTTGCTACTCATGACAACACCATTGGCATCAAAATTACGTTTTTTTAGTACTATTTACAATATCTCGATACATATTTAAAAATAGTTGAAAAGATAAAGTTTAAAACATGAAAATTAAAAAAAAACACTAAAAGTGGATGGTATGGTGAAAGAGATGTTCAATAACACCTTTTAATGTACCATCTCACCATTTATCTGCAATTCATGCTCAATTTGGAAATAAAACCTAAAGAAATACTGTATCAACCGAAATACTGAATTTTGCTAAACGGGCAGGAGGCAGATTGAAGTTACCTCAATAATATGGTGATTGTTAGGATACCATAGGTAACATTTCTTTAATTTATAATTATAATAAGTAATAATTTTCAATGATTTGGCACATATAAATCCGTAGACTTAAGAAACTTCTAGGCTTGAAGCATGGATATTGCCTTAAATTTAAATTAAATGCAAGATGTGCAGCACAGTTAACAACTAAGTCGTTATGAAGAAGAGACAAACCTTTCCATCATCGGACTTTGTCATGTCAGAGATTTGCAGATTTTGTGGCCAGTGTTCGTTTAACTTCCATTCGACGTTTGCCAGTTTGAGTTTTGTCCCAGTCAGATTCACCTTAAACTTTCCCTTAGCACATCCCTGTAATGCTGAATAGCAGTCTCCAGCGTGTCCGAATTTTATATCTCGCCCATCTGTCAATAAATACAGTCATTATAAAAGGAAAGCAAATCGAAAACTTTTAAGTTTTCCCCATACAGCGTGGGGCAAGTTTACCTAAAAGATTATTAGGTTGCATGCTGCCAGTTAAACATACTGTAGAGATTATTGTAGTGAATTCTTGTTTGTTGACCTTCAATATTCGCTTACTTTGCGCCATTTGATAGTGCAGACATTTCTTTTTTTTGAGACTTACTTTTTACCCAGTTTCTAGACAGCAGTGCTACATAGAGGTTCGGTATCAACTCGGCAGATAGGAGCAATGTTCTCGTCATGTAAAGTAACCAAACTTGTACGCACCAGTAGTCCGTGCAAAGGTGTAGTCATCTCGGATAACCTCGATCCTGGACTTATGAAACTTGATTCTTAGCTTGCTGAACTTCGTAGTTCCTGCATAGTCATAGTCCCTCTAAATAATAGATTCATAAAGAAAATTACACTGTCTTGAAATTGAACTTGATTACACAATGCATCAATGAGTTTGTTTAAAGAGTTTGAATGGTTGATATATTCTAAGGCACAATTTTCAAACATGACAGTAAAATCATTAATTTAATATTGCTGTCAACAGTGTTAACTTACCGTTGTTAATCCATTGCATTGCTCTGCAGTCAAAAGTCTATAAGGATAGACATGGGCAAAGTTCTCATTAGGACCCGATGGTAGGGACAAGAACTCCTTTGGGTTCCCTGATGCCATGTTGTAACAATAGATGCGGAGGGATACATCCTTGTTCGTTGGAAATGGGCGAAATGTGTACTCTCCGTCCGAGGCTCGCGGTAGTAGGGACTTCACATCAGAGCACGAGTCAATGCCTGGAAAAATGAGTTTGACAGATCGGTTAATTAAAAGGAAAAAAAAAGGTTTCATAGCTGGTGTCTATCCGTGCAACAATGACACAAATTCTTTGAAAAGCAGAGAATCTTATCCGGTTGGCATTATTATGTCCCACATATCATCAGAAAACATAAATAAAACTATAATTAAATAATATGATGCTAATCCCCATTGTTAATTACCGGGGGTTTGTAGCTGACAATGACCTACAAAGGACAAGTATATGCACTGGAAAGGACGATATTTGCTCGGGAGCAAAAACCGAACCGAACGAAAAGAACCATAACTTTCGGCTGCGAACACATTTGCAAACGGTGACACTATGGGTGAGAAAACAGCTGTTTCTAATCAACAACAAAACAGCTGCTCGTTATCTACATGTGATATTCGTGACAGACCGAGGACAATCCGTGCTGCACGGTTTTGGAGTTTCTGGAGGTTGTCAGAGAGAGATTTCCCACAGTTGGCCCTTACAGTGTTGCAGCACTCAATCTTTGGGCGAACCATACAATTAAACAGCACAGAAAGTGTCTTAGGCGGTAGAATGGGTACTAAACGTTTTAACACTCCTAGCCTAGAGGACACTGCATTGCATAGCTTGTTAATATGTATGCTCCATGTGAGACAGGGATCAAGCCAAACACCCAAATACTTGAAACATGAAACTACCTCCAAATACGTTCCGGAAAGAGTAAAGATTTAGTTGTTCGCTATCTAGACGTAGCCTTCTCACAGTGCCAAAAAGCATTGCCTTGCATTTCCGGACATTAAGTGTCAGTCTGTTTGCATCCAGCCACCTCTCAATATTGCGGAGATCCGCATTCAAGGCTCTGTTTATATCAGTAACTGATTTCGATGCAAAGAAAATTGCTGTATCAT